GCTAGCCACCAGCAGCAGCAGTAGGAGCTTTTCCGTCCTTCACTGCCATGAGGATTTGCCGCTGGGAGTGGTATTTAAGCGTCGCAGCCAGCCACCAGCAGCACTAGCACTGCCATGGGGATTTGCCGCTGGGAATGGTTCGATTTTAGGCGTCGCAGCCAGCCACCAGCAGCAGCAGAGCAGCAGCAGCAGCAGCAGTAGGAGCGTCTTCAGCAGCAGGAGAAAAAAGTAGCTAAACAACATAACAACAACAACAACAACAACACCAACACCAACAACAACACCAACACCAACAGCAACAGCAACAACAACAACAACAACCATGTGCCACCTCTGCTGTGCTCTCGACAGTCCATAAGCTTCATGTTTATATAGGCTGCAATTTTCTTAGATCAAGTCGTGTCTTTGGTACCGGAGCATACTATGCTCTCGACAGTCCATAAGCTTCATGTTTATATCCGCCGACCCCGGCAGACGCAAGGGGGAGTGCGTAAGGGAAAAAGAGTTTATGACACAGCTGCCAGGAAAGAATAATAATAATTCGCTGACCCCGGCCGATGCAAGGGGGAGCATACAGCTGCCAGGAAAGAATAATAATAATTCGCTGACCCCGGCCGATGCAAGGGGGAGCGCGTAAGGGAAGAAGAGGTACTGCACTGCTACTTTTACTACCAGGCAGCAGCAGGCAGCAGGCAGCAGGCAGCAGGTAGCAGCCAGCAGCAGCCAGCAGCAGCCCGCACCAGCCAGCAGCAGCCAGCAGCAGGCAGCAGTAGGTGTCTGGCAGGCAGCATCCGGCAGCAGCAACCAGCAGCAGCCGGCGTTAGGCAGCCAGCAGCAGCCAGCAGCAGCCGCCAGCAACAGCCAGCAGCAGGCAGGAGCAGGCAGCAGCCAGCAGCAGGCAGGAGCAGCAGGCAGCAGCAGGCAGCAGGCAACAGGATTCTATTTTAATTTTATTTTATGGCAGCAACAGCAAGAGCAACAGCAACAGCAACAGCAACAACAACAACAACAACAATGACCCTTTGCCGGGGGACCCTGTTGGGTCCCCCTCCCACCGGTCACGTACGTCGATTCATTGACTCCGGGGTTTTTGTTTTACCGGTGGGGGGTCCTTCCCGGAGTCTCCTCGAGGTACGTGGGGCTCCTTGGTTGCCCTTCCCGCCCTGATCTGTTCGTTCGAGGCCGCATCCTCGAGGTTCAAGTTCGATGGTAACTTTGTGCGAGATCTCGAACACCTTCAGACGATAGAATCTCTCGAAAAATTGTGTTTTTCTAGGATTTCAGAAGGGATGGTAGAATGTTTTTTAGCGTGATTTTGACACTTTTTTCGAAGCTGTTTGGCGTTTTCCTGCCGGCAGCTGCTTTTTTGGAAGCTGTTTTACTGCCAGCAGTACTGCCAGCAGGAAAAAGTAGTTATAGGCATACTTTTGATCCTTCACTGCCACGTTTTACGGCCAGTAGCTGCAGGCAACAGAATCCCTCGATCTCTCGAAAAAGGTTGTTTTTCTAGGATTTCAGACGACACGTTAGGCAGTTTTTTAACGTGGTTTTGAAACTCGATAGATCTACTAAGCTTCTCTAGGATTTCAGAAGACACGTTCGGCAGCTTTTTTGCTGCGATTTTGCGTCCTTTTCGGCACGAAATTAGGTGGTGTTTTACTGTTTCGGACGTGCTTCGAAACAGCAGGGCCAGCTATATATAGTTTTATATTTATAGTTTAGGAGATTTTCGCGGCTTCAGCAGCAGCCAGTAGCCAGCAGCTCAGGAGATTTTCGCGGCTTCAGCAGCAGCCAGTAGCTAGCAGCCAGTAAGTAGGTAGCAGGCCGGTAGCAGCAGCAATAGATCTAATTCTATCTAATTCTAATAAGATTCTTTAGGATTTCAGAAGACACGTTAGGCAGGTTTTTGCTGCGATTTTGTGTCCTTTTCGGCACGAAATTAGGTGGTGCTTTACTGTTTCGGAGGTGCTTCGAAACAGCAGGGCCAGCTATATATAGTTCTCTAGGATTTCAGAAGACACTACTGCTGCTGCTACTACTACTGCTACAGCAGCAGCAGCAGCAGCAGCTAATTTTTTTGCACAGATTGTCTGTTTCTAGGGTTTCAGAAGCAACGTTAGGCAGTAGGGAACGTCCTTCAAGGCCCTGCTGTTTGGGTGTGGCGGAGGCGCCGTTTCTGAGCTTGGAAAGCTAGAAGATGGCTACGTTTCTTGTAGGTTCAGAAAGCACCGTTAGGCAGTAGGGGCCGTTGCCGGCAGGCCCGGTCCGTCCTTCAGGGCCCTGCTGTTTGGGCGTGGCGGAGGCGTCGTTTCTGAGCTTGGAAAGCTCGAAGATGGCTACTTTTCGTGTAGGTTCAGAAAGCAACGTTAGGCCGTTGGGGCCGTTGCCGGCAGGCCCAGTCCGTCCTTCAGGGTGTTGCCATTTGTAGGTTCAGAAAGCAACGTTAGGCAATAGGGGTCGTTGCCGGCAGGCCCGGTCCGTCCTTCAGGGCCCTGCTGTTTGGGCGTGGCGGAGGCGCCGTTTCTGAGTTTGGCAAGCTCGAAGATGGCTACTTTTCTTGTAGGTTCAGAAAGCAACATTAGGCAGCAGGGGCCGTTGCCGGCAGGCCCGGTCCGTCCTTTCGGGCCCTGCTGTTTGGGCGTGGCGGAGGCACTTAAAAAGACACTTAGCCGAAAACTACATACAAGTCGTACACCTTGTTCAAACCATTAGTGCCAAGAAAAAACATGCTATGCATACTCTGCGCCGTGGCTAGTTGCTGCACCTGCCACTAGCAATAATATTGCACCTTGCCACGGATGGTTTTCAAAGTGCTAAAGGTGCCTGCATACCAACGCATTCTGAACAGACTTGCTAATAGAAACTGATACATCCATCAGGGTTCAGATAAGGGGGGAGGAGTTGTGCAGACGGTTTTGGTAGATACAGAGCGGAATGCACAGGGTGCACAACTACAAAATGCAAGTGCATGTACTTTTTTTTCAGCTACAAAATGAAGAACATAACTCTTTCTGGCTCGGAAAACAATTCAAAACCAGTACTACAAAATCCAATGCATCTGAAGTCAAAAAAATAGCTGAACGTCGGAATTTCTAACATGATTTTTCCCAATGACATTTTGTAGTTGGGTCTTTGAATTCCAAAGTTCCGACCAACATAAATTCGGAGAACATTTTGTAGTTGTCAATGATTGAATTTAGTTGGATCAAGTGTTGACCCCGTGCGGTTTGTTAGATGGCATTCTGTAGCTTCATGATCTGTTTGTCCATGCTAATGAAATTTTATGTTGCATGCTTCAACTGACTCAACATATATAACTACAAATGAAAATGCATGCAACGAAAGGAATCAACTACAAAATGATTCCAAATACAAAATGGGGGGCACAACCCCTCCTGTTTGTACAAAAAAATGCTGGCTGGCAATCTGTACTGTAGCCCAAGTCCTCCCCATTTCGTAGCTGAAATTTGAAGGAGGATATACATCCTCAATATCTAATTAATCGCTCAAGAAAATCAGCAAACCTTCGCTCCCAAATCCTCCAAAAATGACGTGGGAAAATACGATGGCCTAGCATGTCCAACCATCGTATTTTCCCATATGCTTTTCGAACACCAACAACATCATTGCATGCGATACCTGAACCACTAGTGCCACACATGATGGATGCCTGTGTATTTTATTTCAGTTCTGCGCCTTGCCACGGAACAACACAGCACCTTGCCGCAAAAAGGGGGGATAAATGGGAGGGTTTATTTATTTTATAATTCACGAGCTCAAGACCCACACTCTGGTTGAAGTCGTCGAGGAACTGCTCAGGGGGGTGAAAGGGTTTGGTGGGTGGGTTTTCTTACTATATCAAATATTTTATCAAATATATTTCATTCAAACATATCAAGTATATTTCATGAAAATATACATTTGAAAAAGGAGAAAACCTGCAAGTGCGAAGCACCGACAAATATTTCTGCCAATTTGGTTTCATTCATTGCCAATTCTTCCGGGGTCGGCGGCAGGGGCGGCAGCCCTTAAATATGCCATACTGATGGAAATCCAGGTTCAAACCATGAGACAGTTTGGAACAACTTCTACGGGTTTTACTACACCGGATGCGGTTTTGGTGGCCTCGGGCCCATGCTCTCAGTTTTGCTGCGCGAGCAACAGAACACCTGGACTGCATGTTTTGTTGTAGTTTTGAAAGTGCACCCAACCTGGCGAGCCAAGAAGGCATTGGATTAAGGGGCACCCCACGCAAAGCGTGGAAAAAGCCGGCTGGCTGTGTTTCTTGTGATGAAGACCGGTAAGGTCACGGGCGGGTGCCCGTCGTGTGTTGCGGCTGCAGCCGCAGTGTCAATGCTGTGTTTAGCAGCTGCTGCTGCTACGAGAGTGCTGGTCCCAGTGAACTGGGTGTGATGGGGCAGAGCCCACATCGGTACGTTGTATTTTGCAAAGTGATGTATGGCTTGCGCCAATTGGAGCTGGTCTGTGCCAGTGTTCCGGTGTGGTAGCCGGCGGTTTGCCAGTCTGGTGGCTGGCTGTGCCCAGTCCAGGGTCCCGGCACCACAGAATGGTGGCCACGGTGTTAGCGTGACACTGGGCGGTGCATTAACGTAGCCACCTTCCGTTTTACCGGCGCTGCCCCGGTCATCTCTGACGCTCACCACTGCGTGTTAGGCAGTGGAGCGGGGTAAGTGGCCTGTTGTGGGGGGGAATTTGTAACCAGGTCAATTCCCGCGCGGTCACCCGCGCCCCCCCCCCCGAGGGGGGACTGCATGTTTTTTACTGCCGAAGTGTCCCAGGAGCCGATCGACTGGTTGAAATTTGCGGCTTTGCAGAACATGGACTGCATGTTAGTCACTGCCGAAGTGTCCCAGGACCCGATCGGCTGGTTGAAGCGGTAGGCTTGGTAGAACATGGACTGCATGTTAGGTTTGTGGTTTCTGGCGACAACCTGGCACGGCCAAATTGGCCCGGGGTTAAGCCGCCCACACCCGGACCCTCTACACCACAGGAAGGGCAGTCACGCCCTCCCCACGAGCAATGTGAGGATCCAAATTGTTCTGGCCCATGTCAAAAGGCTCGGGACGGGAGTAGTTGCGTCCGGCTTGGACTTTGCACAATTGCTCCCGGATATGCGCGCATTGTTTCACACGAACAAGGTCGACCCCTTCAGGACCCCAGCCTAATCTGTTAACCAAAGGACATCTGCTGGGAGGGACACGTCTCAGGTGGTCCCAGTGGCTACACTGCCAAAGCACATGGAAAGTGTCAGGACACTGATGTTTCTTACATTCATGGCAAAACATAGGTGGTGACGACGCTTTCGCGTCAGTTTTCAAAGCACCGGACATGATTCCAATCTCATGCGCGGACAGATGTGTGGCCGCCCGGAGAAGCTTAGTGATTAGGTTATCAGAAATAGCCAAATTGTTTGCCCGGGCCAGCTTGGCATCATTGCGGTCAGATGCCAGCCACCCTTTGACCTCACGTGCACGCCAAAACTGCCGAAAACAATGTGCCATGCGAGGTGCGAAATCAGGTGGGGATGCGGAGTCCCACCACCCCCCACTCCAGGACCAGCGGCCCCAGCTGTCGCACTGAAGGTCCAGCTTGGAGAGAGCACCGTTCAAAGCCGAAATCACATTACTAGGCTTGTGGGACCAATTCCCCGGATGGTGGTGACGCCACTTAGTGAGGGCGTTCAAAAGACGCTGGCAAGAAAGGTAAAGGAGGTCAGATGAGTGCCCAAGCAACAAGACTTTCTCCAAATGCCTGGAAGCAATGCCATCCAAAAATTTTCCTTTAACTGCAAGACGATAATCCTCAGTGTGCGCCTTGCATTCCCCCTTGGTAGGAGTTCTTCCATTAAGTAAAAGCCCCCAGACCCTCTTGGAAGCAAGAGTAAGGGCCGCAAGGCCGGCCCGGAAGTTTTGGGATACCGGCAAAACACTAATACGCTGTGCAATCGTTGTACATTTTTTGGCACGGGACAGTTCAGCATTGGATTGAGCTCTGGGCGCGATGCCAATGGTGACACCCAGCACTTCAGCCGTGGCAGTCGGCGACAGATTAGCCGCCTGCAACGCCAGATACCCCTTCCAATTTCGCCCCAGCACTTGGGTTTTGCTGGAATTAGTGCGGAGTCGAGTGTGGGCATGGAGCACATTCCAAGCATTAAGAGCTGCGGCCAGGATGCCGGGAGTGGGAGCAACAAGCGTGCGATCATCGAGGTACAGCAAGCATCTGGACTCCGGAACCAACCTCTCTTGGTGCCGCTTCGCAAGCATGAGAACCAGTGACATTGCTATGGGAGACCAGGGATCTCCTTGGGGTAATGCCAAACAATTTTGGATAGGGAGCCGCGCACACACCCCTGCAAAAGACATCCAACGTTTCTGTCGCCGCCATTGTGCTCCCAAAAGATTGACCACACGGGCAGGAAGGCCAAGCCGGGACATGACGGCCAGAGCCAAAGTGTAATCGCAAGAGTCAAATGCCTTGGTAAAATCTAGTGCCATGAGGCACGGAAATTTTGTGGGATCAAGATCGATGTCCAAAGTCAATAGAAGGGAGGAGACGTCCTCTCCGCCGATGCCCCCCGACTGGTTCCGATCCAGATATTGAGCTAGAATGGGAGCCAGATGGCCCAATCTGATTCTGCCCCAAATACGATAGATGGCTGAGCCGATTGCGATTGGTCTGACTTCACCCAATGAAGGCAAAGTGCCATGCCTTTTCTTTGGCAGGGCTGCGATCTTCCAGTAACAAGTGGCTTCCGGCCACGCCCCCTGTTGCTCAAAGGCATCCATCATCTCTGCAAGCCGCCTATGTGCCTCGCACGGCAGCAATGCTAACCAGGAAGGGCAAATTCAATCCAAGCCAGCTGCTTTTCTGTGCATTTGGCGAGCTGCCCTGAGCGTGTCCTCTCCTGTGATGGGCGGAAGATTAGGTGTGGGCAATGGATCAGGGAAGTCATCCTGATAAGCCGAAAGGAAAGCGACAACATCTGCAGCGAATTCCTGAAAACCAAAAACGTTTGTCCAAAATGCTTTAAGTTTTTCGACAATTTTAGGGGGGGAGGTCAAAATACTATGATCAACATCTTTGAAAGCCAGTGGAGCAGCTTCTTCCTTCCTGAGCCACTGACAAGCTTGTGGGAGATCGCGCATTCGGGCGCGCCATTTCTGAAGTGCATCGTTGCGGTGCGCATCTTGGAGTTGCCTGAGTCTCACGGTGGCCATTTGGTGGGCCAACCCCCAAGCATGTGCTCTCACAGCCTCCTGTTCAGATGCTGGACAATTTGTGCCAAGTAATTTATTATACAGCGTGTGTGGAATACGCATGCCTCTCCAAGCAAGAGTACGCGCTTCATGAAGCCTGCGAATGAATCTACGCAAATGTCTTTCCGTGATTGACTGAGTAGCACCCGCGCGATGAGACCCTGTGCGGACCGTGGGGACGTCACCCACCTTTCTCTCAGGCTGGTGGCTATCGAGAAGGCCGGCCTGAACCAAATAATTTTCAATGTCAAAACACCACATGGCCCAAGCATGGTCGATGTTGAGCAGCGCTTGCGACCAATCACTTTCAGCGGCCGCCACCGATGACCACAAACTACTAGGATGTAAAACATCTTGCTGGGGAACCACTTTTTTTCGGGTGTGCGAAAAACGCCACTGTGGCGCCTTACATTTTTGAAATGCAAGAGGGAAGGAGCTCTGTGCGATGGTGTGGTCTCCATCACCTGGAATTTCGGAGGCACTGGAGGCTTGAAGCCCTCCCGAAGACCAAATTGCATCAATTGGGTGAACACTCCGGTCATGTCGAGCAACAGAACACCTGGTGCCACCCATATTTTCAAGGATATCATGAGCAATTCCCTGTGACATGTTAGCATTGGCATCTAAGGCAAGGATCCAATCTTGCGAACCTAGGCGGCTAACAATCAGCGCAGCTTCATGCAAAATGGCAAAATCGGCATCACTGTGGTGCCGGTAAATACAGAGGACGTTGATGTCCCGTTGCCCCCCGTGCAGCACAGCGTGGATCAGCTGCCCTGACTCGGAGCTGATGCGGCTGACCTCAGTGAGCGCACATGATTCGTGGCAGAAGACAGCGACTCCGCCATTGGATTTAACTGGCTTTGGAACAATCAAAGCTTGCCACTGCTGACGCCTACAAATTTGCGAAACAGAGGGAATGCTGATGTGTGAAATGTTATGCTCCTGCATGTAAACAAGCTGGACCTTAGCATCTCTGGCATGTGTGAGCATGTCTGTGCCATGAGCTTGCCAAGAGCGAATATTTTGTGACCACGCGTGCAAATCAGATGGTCCTGGGTGTGATGCCTCACCAAGGCGCACGCCACGGAGGCCTTGTAAACGTTTTCTCTTGGTGGCACTGGCATCTCCGCTTCCTTCAGCTTTGACAGTTCTTTTACGACAATTCTGCCAAATTTTCTTCCTTTTTTCAAGGGAAGGAGACTTACCGACAAAACGAGGACAAACGCTGATGGACAGGGATGGCCTAGACACGTGCCTAGAGCAGGCTTTGCATTTATAAACTGGGACTTGCACCGACATGCCTCTGGTATTGATGTATATCCTAGAAAACTCATGTTGACATGGGACGTCGTGCGCCCCTTTCCATTTGAGCTGTTGGAAAAAACCATGGAATGTCTTCCACCTCGACTGGAAGGTGCTCCTGGCATTCAAAAATCTGGTCGGGTGTTCAAGCAAGTTGCCTGACGACATTTTGGTATTTTGAGTGGCATGAACCCTTTCAAGGTGCCGTTTTTTTAAGCGCGATTTGGAAACACGCTGTGCCGTGCTCTGGATAGCAAAATCACACCAAGGACATTTCCACCAGACACCTCCCTGCGATTTGGGAAAGACAGGCAGGCTCCCTAACGGATCAGGTTTTGAAGCTTGGACAGCGATAGCTTCTCGCTCTCTATCTTGTCTCTGCAATCTGTTTGCTTCCGCCCTTTGTGCTCTCTGCTCTTTGACCGTGCACAGCTTTGCCGCTGCGGCTTGCTTGTTGGCTTTGGCCAAAATGGCCTTCCAAACAGCTCTGCGACCCTGCTTAGAGACATCGCGGCTCTTACTAGGCATGTTGTTTGGGCAGCACGAATCTGTGGGATACGAAACTTTCTTGTTGCATTTGACGCAAACAAAAGGAAACCCTCCGGCGGAACCCAGGCTCCCAGGGTGCACATGTAATCCAGTGCCAGCCTGTTTTGCTTGGATGCTGGCGATGGCTTTGAACTTGGGCCCTAGGCGATCTCTGGTGTTTCGTTTGGCACGAGCAGTATCCCTAGCTTGCACAAGTGGCTCAGAATGTCGTCCTGCATGTTGGATGGCATCATGGGCAAGGGGAACCTCAACAGAAAAAACGGCATCACAATGAGTCTGTTGGTGAGCACAGCTGCTGGGAGCGGCATCGGTTCGCGCCACGGTAAGAGAAACTCTAGCGGATGAACTTCTGGCCACACTGCTGCGCCTCTTCGAAGCGTTGTGTCTCCGGTCAGGAGCATGCGACATGCAAGACTGCGAATGGACATCATGAGTCCCTGCCATCGGCTGATCAACACTGCTACCGACTTTGACCTTTCGAATGCTTTTCTGCACTGGGTGGGGTCTGCTAGATCGGCGCGAAATGGAACTAACAGGAGTTCGCCAGGTGTGGATGGAAGGAGTGGCACTATTAAGGCTTGGAAGACCACGGCCAGCCCCCGTCAGATCAATCATGAGAGGTTTGGTAGTTTTGAGCAACCACGGGCGAGGGAACTTTGTTTTTTGTGGGGCATGCACTGCTTCGAAATGCTTTTTGTTTAAGGTCAAAACAACCGGAGGCGCATTGCGTCTGCTCATTGCAACATCCTGCTTAAAGCCAGGTGCGAATGTGAATCTGTCCCATCTATCCTCTGATTGTTTGAAAATCACAATGACAAGTCCCAAGGTCTCAGCCAGGCACTGGATGCTAAGGCCATCTGCCCAGACTTCCTGTTTCATCTGCAGTTCACACCATTCACTGATGTTCGTTGCCTGCGGATTGCACCCCCTTTCAGCGGGGGTTTCTTTGGAATCTGGCGCAAACCAGCTAGAGAGCCTGCTACTATGCTTCTGGGCGTGCAAAACAGCTGACGCACGAAGCTCTGCCCCGCAGAGGGCAGCAGTTTCAGCAGTGATCAACTTATGATGCTTTTGCCAGTGTTGACAAGCAGCAATACTTCGATAAAAACAATCTCCATTGCCACCAACATCTTGACTTTCCCAGCCATTTTTGAAACATTCCGCGATGTCTGTTGGGATCAAATCTGGGTCATCTGCAACAGCCTGCCGCTGCTTGGAGCGAACTGGGCTCCGACTTCTTTCCCTACCAGCCTCTTTTTGTGAAGCTTGACTGGAGTCCTGATCCAGAGCAGTTGCCATGACGTCACCGGTATCGCCAGGATTGTTGGCTTCATTTCCAATTTTCCCCAGCTCATTTCCTCGCCATGTGTTTCTGACAGGTTGTTGCCAGGTTGGCTGGTGTTGTCTGACAGGAGCTGGGATGCATGACATGTAGCCTTCTGCCAAATCGTAATGGTAATTTTCCTGCATAGCTGAAGGTGGCTGGGCATGAAAACGCCATTCGTTTCGATATCTCACTTTGGAAATGCGTTGCACGGCTTTCCATTTCTGTTGATTGAGAAAATCTTCGATCTCTTCAGTCTGCCACATCTTTGGAGCCCCTCGGAGGAGGTAGTTGGCCGCTTGGCCCTCAGCTATTTCTGCTGCTGTTTTTTCCATGCCAATGGTGTGTGGTGTGCTGCTTTTTCGAAAAAAAAAGGCCAACTTTCCTGAGCTTAGCTTCCTTGAGACATCTTTGCAAATAGGTCTCGGCATTTTCGTTGTTCTGTCGTTGAAACCAACGGATGGGCCTGGGTCCAGTATTGTTTTCTTGGATCTGGGCAAAAACACCCTGGCGACCGCTATTGACAACAAGCTCCTTAGCCTGTTCTGTTGGCAAAATCAGCCAGCCTGTGAGCAAGTCTTGTTGATGGACCTGCGTGTGATTCCATTTGCCACCCATGAGGTGAGAGGCTTTTATTTTTTCACTCCACTGGGCCATGGCAGCCGCCACCAATCTGGGTAGGTCTTGGCCTGAATCCAAGAAGTGCTTTCGGAATTCCAAAGGTGCAATGACTCTGACAGTGCTTCTTTGGACTGTTTTGATTTTCCCCTCATCAACTTTGACTGCGGGCAAGATCCACAATCCACTGTTGGTATCTCCTAAGCGCAGGAGAGCTATTTCTTCAATTTTCGGTGTGCCATGCGCCCTGGATATGCGAACACGGGTAGCCGTGGCCCCCAGGGTGTCTTTGGCATCCTTGGTGAGCAGCATGGTCAAAGAGCCCTTGCACCCATAGCTATGCCAAAGGGTGCGCAGGTTCGCACACTGTTCTTTGGTGTAAACTTCGGAGATGTTGGCTTGCAAGGCTATTCCTGCTTTTATCTGAGAAATGATCTCATGCACGGATAGGAACTTTGGTTGGGCATTCCATTCGCTGGGCACAAAACCAGTGATATCTTGATGGCTGCAGCCTCGGTTGGGGTTGGTCTGTTTTCCCCAGCGATTGGCACCATGATTTGAAGCTTTCGCTCCACTCTGGGGCTTGCTGTATCTGACTTCCCTGACCGCAACTGGTTTCCCAAGGTCACGGCTGTGTCCTTGGTTGGTGTCAATCAGCCTGCTGGTGGCTGTGATCACTTCCTGGTCACTTGCTTGGTTTGCGCAAAGTTTCTGGAGAAGCTGTAGCAATTCGCGAGCTAGGCTGGTGTCAGGAGAGCTGTCAGCCCGGTATCCTTGCCATGAATTATTTGCTTGTTTCCTTCTTTTCCGCCACCCCCAAGTGTGGTCTTCAGGCGTATTTTGATTGCTAGGCTGCCACTGCTGGATCACATTTGTCAAAGCAGTAGCCAGGCTTTGTGGTGACTCATGCTGTGGATTGTTGCGCTTACGACGTGTGCGGGCTGAACCTCCCGCACCTCCCGCAAGGAGGCATCGCAACTCTGGTTTGGTCACATCCATAGACGCAGCGTCAGCACGACAAACGCTAGCAATGGAAAATATGCCATACTGATGGAAATCCAGGTTCAAACCATGAGACAGTTTGGAACAACTTCTACGGGTTTTACTACACCGGATGCGGTTTTGGTGGCCCCGGGCCCATGCTCTCAGTTTTGCTGCGCGAAACTTCGCGCTGGCCAATCTTTGGCGCATTTTAGCTTTGGTATGGCGTGCATTTCGCACCAGTCTCGCTGGAAGTGCCATGCGATACTTGGTGAATTTGATATTTTTGTTTGGTTTTCGAGTTTTGCACTTTTTTCTGTTGGTTTTGAGAGTTTTCTGCGTTCTCTTGAACGAATTGCGTGGTCTGCTCAGCCAGTCCCAAAAGAAAGCAAAGCAGTATAATATACACAGGAATGTCAGGTTAGTGAAAGGGTCTTCACCTATGATTGGCCAGTGTTCATGCATCAATGTCACTGCAACTTCACTGGGTGTAACACAACAACTGCAAAGATGCGAAAGCAACCATGCCATGCTGCATTGAAACTGAGAGAGCTTCGCACCTGCTAAGGCCCGCGACTGCCGTGGCAAACTACAAGAAGTAATTGGCCGGGAGGCGCTCTCTTTTTGATAGCCGCTGGACTGCATGTTAGTCACTGCCGAAGTGTCCCAGGACCCGATCGACTGGTTGAAGCGGTAGGCTTCGGAGAACATGTACTGCATATCTGTGACTGCCGAAGTGTCCCAGGACCCGATCGACTGGTTGAATTTCACGGCATACTCGAACATGGACCGCATGTTAGCCACTGCCGAAGTGTCCCAGGACCCGATCGACTGGCTGAATTTCTCGGCATGCTCGAACATGGACTGCATGTTTTTTACTGCCGAAGTGTCCCAGGAGCCGATCGGCTGGTTGAAATTTGCGGCTTTGCAGAACATGGACTGCATGTTAGGTTTGTGGTTTCTGGCGACAACCTGGCACGGCCAAATTGGCCCGGGGTTAAGCCGCCCACACCCGGGCCCTCTACACCTCAGGAAGGGCAATCACGCCCTCCCCACGAGCAATGTGAGGATCCAAATTGTTCTGGCCCATGTCAAAAGGCTCAGGACGGGAGTAGTTGCGTCCGGCTTGGACTTTGCACAATTGCTCCCGGATATGCGCGCATTGTTTCACACGAACAAGGTCGACCCCTTCAGGACCCCAGCCTAATCTGTTAACCAAAGGACATCTGCTGGGAGGGACACGTCTCAGGTGGTCCCAGTGGCTACACTGCCAAAGCACATGGAAAGTGTCAGGACACTGATGTTTCTTACATTCATGGCAAAACATAGGTGGTGACGACGCTTTCGCGTCAGTTTTCAAAGCACCGGACATGATTCCAATCTCATGCGCGGACAGATCTGTGGCCGCCCGGTGAAGCTTAGTGATTAGGTTATCAGAAATAGCCAAATTGTTTGCCCGGGCCAGCTTGGCATCATTGCGGTCAGATGCCAGCCACCCTTTGACCTCACGTGCACGCCAAAACCGCCGAAAACAATGTGCCATGCGAGGTGCGAAGTCAGGTGGGGATGCGGAGTCCCACCACCCCCCACTCCAGGACCAGCGGCCCCAGCTGTCGCACTGAAGGTCCAGCTTGGAGAGAGCACCGTTCAAAGCCGAAATCACATTACTAGGCTTGTGGGACCAATTCCCCGGATGGTGGTGACGCCACTTAGTGAGGGCGTTCAAAAGACGCTGGCAAGAAAGGTAAAGGAGGTCAGATGAGTGCCCAAGCAACAAGACTTTTTCCAAATGCCTGGAAGCAATGCCATCCAAAAATTTTCCTTTAACTGCAAGACGATAATCCTCAGTGTGCGCCTTGCATTCCCCCTTGGTAGGAGTTCTTCCATTAAGTAAAAGCCCCCAGACCCTCTTGGAAGCAAGAGTAAGGGCCGCGAGGCCGGCCCGGAAGTTTTGGGATACCGGCAAAACACTAATACGCTGTGCAAACTGCCGAAGTGTCCCAGGACCCGATCGGCTGGTTGAAGTAGTACGCTTGGTAGAACATGGACCGCATGTTAGTTGTAGTTTTGAAAGTGCACCCAACCTGGCGAGCCAAGAAGGCATTGGATTAAGGGGCACCCCACGCAAAGCGTGGAAAAAGCCGGCTGGCTGTGTTTCTTGTGATGAAGACCGGTAAGGTCACGGGCGGGTGCCCGTCGTGTGTTGCGGCTGCAGCCGCAGTGTCAATGCTGTGTTTAGCAGCTGCTGCTGCTACGAGAGTGCTGGTCCCAGTGAACTGGGGGTGATGGGGCAGAGCCCACATCGGTACGTTGTATTTTGCAAAGTGATGTATGGCTTGCGCCAATTGGAGCTGGTCTGTGCCAGTGTTCCGGTGTGGTAGCTGGCGGTTTGCCAGTCTGGTGGCTGGCTGTGCCCAGTCCAGGGTCCCGGCACCACAGAATGGTGGCCACGGTGTTAGCGTGACACTGGGCGGTGCATTAACGTAGCCACCTTCCGTTTTACCGGCGCTGCCCCGGTCATCTCTGACGCTCACCACTGCGTGTTAGGCAGTGGAGCGGGGTAAGTGGCCTGTTGTGGGGGGGAATTTGTAACCAGGTCAATTCCCGCGCGGTCACCCGCGCCCCCCCCCAAGGGTGGACCGCATGTTAGTTGTAGTTTTGTAAGTGCACCCAACCTGGCGAGCCAAGAAGGCATTGGATTAAGGGGCACCCCACGCAAAGCGTGGAAAAAGCCGGCTGGCTGTGTTTCTTGTGATGAAGACCGGTAAGGTCACGGGCGGGTGCCCGTCGTGTGTTGCGGCTGCAGCCGCAGTGTCAATGCTGTGTTTAGCAGCTGCTGCTGCTACGAGAGTGCTGGTCCCAGTGAACTGGGTGTGATGGGGCAGAGCCCACATCGGTACGTTGTATTTTGCAAAGTGATGTATGGCTTGCGCCAATTGGAGCTGGTCTGTGCCAGTGTTCCGGTGTGGTAGCCGGCGGTTTGCCAGTCTGGTGGCTGGTTGAAGTCGTAGGCTTGGTAGAACATGGACTGCATGTTAGGTTGTGGTTTCTGGCGACAACCTGGCACGGCCAAATTGGCCCGGGGTTAAGCCGCCCACACCCGGACCCTCTACACCACAGGAAGGGCAAGCACGCCCTCCCCACCAGCAATGTGAGGATCCAAATTGATCTGGCCCATGTCAAAAGGCTCAGGACGGGAGTAGTTGCGTCCGGCTTGGACTTTGCACAATTGCTCCCGGATATGCGCGCATTGTTTCACACGAACAAGGTCGACCCCTTCAGGACCCCAGCCTAATCTGTTAACCAAAGGACATCTGCTGGGAGGGACACGTCTCAGGTGGTCCCAGTGGCTACACTGCCAAAGCACATGGAAAGTGTCAGGACACTGATGTTTCTTACATTCATGGCAAAACATAGGTGGTGACGACGCTTTCGCGTCCGTTTTCAAAGCACCGGACATGATACCAATCTCATGCGCGGACAGATCTGTGGCCGCCCGGTGAAGCTTAGTGATTAGGTTATCAGAAATAGCCAAATTGTTTGCCCGGGCCAGCTTGGCATCATTGCGGTCAGATGCCAGCCACCCTTTGACCTCACGTGCACGCCAAAACTGCCTAAAACAATGTGCCATGCGAGGTGCGAAATCAGGTGGGGATGCGGAGTCCCACCACCCCCCACTCCAGGACCAGCGGCCCCAGCTGTCGCACTGAAGGTCCAGCTTGGAGAGAGCAACGTTCAAAGCCGAAATCACATTACTAGGCTTGTGGGACCAATTCCCCGGATGGTGGTGACGCCACTTAGTGAGGGCGTTCAAAAGACGCTGGCAAGAAAGGTAAAGGAGGTCAGATGAGTGCCCAAGCAACAAGACTTTTTCCAAATGCCTGGAAGCAATGCCATCCAAAAATTTTCCTTTAACTGCAAGGCGATAATCCTCAGTGTGCGCCTTGCATTCCCCCTTGGTAGGAGTTCTTCCATTAAGTAAAAGCCCCCAGACCCTCTTGGAAGCAAGAGTAAGGGCCGCAAGGCCGGCCCGGAAGTTTTGGGATACCGGCAAAACACTAATACGCTGTGCAATCGTTCTGCATTTTTTGGCACGGGACAGTTCAGCATTGGATTGAGCTCTGGGCGCGATGCCAATGGTGACACCCAGCACTTCAGCCGTGGCAGTCGGCGACAGATTAGCCGCCTGCAACGCCAGATACCCCTTCCAATTTCGCCCCAGCACTTGGGCTTTGCTGGAATTAGTGCGGAGTCGAGTGTGGGCATGGAGCACATTCCAAGCATTAAGAGCTGCGGCCAGGATGCCGGGAGTGGGAGCAACAAGCGTGCGATCATCGAGGTACAGCAAGCATCTGGACTCCGGAACCAACCTCTCTTGGTGCCGCTTCGCAAGCATGAGAACCAGTGACATTGCTATGGGAGACCAGGGATCTCCTTGGGGTAATGCCAAGCAATTTTGGATAGGGAGCCGCGCACACACCCCTGCAAAAGACATCCAACGTTTCTGTCGCCGCCATTGTGCTCCCAAAAGATTGACCACACGGGCAGGAAGGCCAAGCCGGGACATGACGGCCAGAGCCAAAGTGTAATCGCAAGAGTCAAATGCCTTGGTAAAATCTAGTGCCATGAGGCACGGAAATTTTGTGGGATCAAGATCGATGTCCAAAGTCAAAAGAAGGGAGGAGACGTCCTCTCCGCCGATGCCCCCCGACTGGTTCCGATCCAGATATTGAGCTAGAATGGGAGCCAGATGGCCCAATCTGATTCTGCCCCAAATACGATAGATGGCTGAGCCGATTGCGATTGGTCTGACTTCACCCAATGAAGGCAAAGTGCCATGCCTTTTCTTTGGCAGGGCAGCGATCTTCCAGTAACAAGTGGCTTCCGGCCACGCCCCCTGTTGCTCAAAGGCATCCATCATCTGTGCAAGCCGCCTGTGTGCCTCGCACGGCAGCAATGCTAACCAGGAAGGGCAAATTCCATCCAAGCCAGCTGCTTTTCTGTGCATTTGGCGAGCTGCCCTGAGCGTGTCCTCTCCTGTGATGGGCGGAAGATTAGGTGTGGGTAATGGATCAGGGAAGTCATCCTGATAAGCCGAAAGGAAAGCGTCAACATCTGCAGCGAATTCCTGAAAACCAAAAACGTTTGTCCAAAATGCTTTAAGTTTTTCGACAATTTTAGGGGGGGAGGTCAAAATACTATGATCAACATCTTTGAAAGCCAGTGGAGCAGCTTCTTCCTTCCTGAGCCACTGACAAGCTTGTGGGAGATCGCGCATTCGGGCGCGCCATTTCTGAAGTGCATCGTTGCGGTGTGCATCTTGGAGTTGCCTGAGTCTCACGGTGGCCATTTGGTGGGCCAACCCCCAAGCATGTGCTCTCACAGCCTCCTGTTCAGATGCTGGACAATTTGTGCCAAGTAATTTATTATACAGCGTGTGTGGAGTACGCATGCCTCTCCAAGCTAGAGTACGCGCTTCATGAAGCTTGCGAATGAATCTACGCAAATGTCTTTCCGTGATTGACTGAGTAGCACCCACGCGATGAGACCCTGTGCGGACCGTGGGCACATCACCCACCTTTCTCTCAGGCTGGTGGCTATCGAGAAGGCCGGCCTGAACCAAATAATTTTCAATGTCAAAACACCACATGGCCCAAGCATGGTCGATGTTGAGCAGCGCTTGCGACCAATCACTTTCAGCGGCCGCCACCGATGACCACAAACTACTAGGATGTAAAACATTTTGCTGGGGAACCACTTTTTTGCGGGTGTGCGAAAAACGCCACTGTGGCGCCTTACATTTTTGAAATGCAAGAGGGAAGGAGCTCTGTGCGATGGTGTGGTCTCCATCACCTGGAATTTCGGAGGCACTGGAGGCTTGAAGCCCTCCCGAAGACCAAATTGCATCAATTGGGTGAACACTCCGGTCGTGTCGAGCAACAGAACACCTGGTGCCACCCATATTTTCAAGGATATCATGAGCAATTCCCTGTGACATGTTAGCATTGGCATCTAAGGCAAGGATCCAATCTTGCGAACCTAGGCGGCTAACAATCAGCGCCGCTTCATGCAAAATGGCAAAATCGGCATCACTGTGGTGCCGGTAAATACAGAGGACGTTGATGTCCCATTGCCCCCCATGCAGCACAGCGCGGATCAGCTGCCCCGACTCGGAGCTGATGCGCCTGACCTCAGTGAGCGCACATGATTCGTGGCAGAAGACAGCGACTCCGCCATTGGATTTAACTGGCTTTGGAACAAGCAAAGCTTGCCACTGCTGACGCCTACAAATTTGCGAAACAGAGGGAATGCTGATGTGTGAAATGTTATGCTCCTGCATGAAAACAAGCTGGACCTTGGCATCTCTGGCATGTGTGAGCATGTCTGTGCCATGAGCTTGCCAAGAGCGAATATTTTGTGACCACGCGTGCAAATCAGATGGTCCTGGGTGTGATGCCTCACCAAGGCGCACGCCACGGAGGCCTTGTAAACGTTTTCTCTTGGTGGCACTGGCATCTCCGCTTCCTTCAGCTTTGACAGTTCTTTTACGACAAGTCTGCCAAATTTTCTTCCTTTTTTCAAGGGAAGGAGACTTGCCGACAAAACGAGGACAAACGCTGATGGACAGGGATTGCCTAGACACGTGCCTAGAGCAGGCTTTGCATTTATAAACTGGGACTTGCACCGACATGCCTCTGGTATTGATGTATATCCTAGAAAACTCATGTTGACATGGGACGTCGTGCGCCCCTTTCCATTTGAGCTGTTGGAAAAAACCATGAAATGTCTTCCACCTCGACTGGAAGGTGCTCCTGGCATTCAAAAATCTGGTCGGGTGTTCAAGCAAGTTGCCTGACGACATTTTGGTATTTTGAGTGGCATGAACCCTTTCAAGGTGCCGTTTTTTAAAGCGCGATTTGGAAACACGCTGTACCGTGCTCTGGATAGCAAAATCACACCAAGGACATTTCCACCAGACACCTCCCTGCGATTTGGGAAAGACCGGCAGGCTCCCTAACGGATCAGGTTTTGAAGCTTGGACAGCAATAGCTTCTCGCTCTCTATCTTGTCTCTGCAATCTGTTTGCTTCCGCCCTTTGTGCTCTCTGCTCTTTGACCGTGCACAGCTTTGCCTCTGCGGCTTGCTTGTTGGCTTTGGCCAAAATGGCCTTCCAAACAACTCTGCGACCCTGCTTAGACACATCGCGGCTCTTGCTAGGCATGTTGTTTGGGCAGCACGAATCTGTGGGATACGAAACTTTCTTGTTGCATCTGACGCAAACAAAAGGAAACCCTCCGCCTGAACCCAGGCTCCCAGGGTGCACATGTAATCCAGTGCCAGCCTGTTTTGCTTGGATGCTAGCGATGGCTTTGAACTTGGGCCCTAGGCGATCTCTGGTGTTTCGTTTGGCACGAGCAGTATCCCTAGCTTGCACAAGTGGCTCAGAATGTCGTCCTGCATGTTGGACGGCATCATGGGCAAGGGGAACCTCAACAGAAAAAACGGCATCACAATGAGTCTGTTGGTGAGCACAGCTGCTGGGAGCGGCATCGGTTCGCGCCACGGTAAGGGAAACTCTAGCGGATGAACTTCTGGCCACGCTGCTGCGCTTCTTCGAAGCGTTGGGTCTCCGGTCGGAGCATGCGACATGCAAGACTGCGAATGGACAACATGAGTCCCTGCCATGGGCTGATCAACACTGCTACCGACTTTGACCTTTCGAATGCTTTTCTGCACTGGGTGGGGTTTGCTTGATCGGCGCGGAATGGAACTAACAGGAGTTCGCCAGGTGTGGATGGAAGGAGTGGCACTAAGGCTTGGAAGACCACGGCCAGCCCCCGTCAGATCAATCATGAGAGGTTTGGTAGTTTTGAGCAACCACGGGCGAGGGAACTTTGTTTTTTGTGGGGCATGCACTGCTTCGAAATGCTTTTTGTTTAAGGTCAAAACAACCGGAGGCGCATTGCGTCTGCTCATTGCAACATCCTGCTTAAAGCCAGGTGCGAATGTGAATCTGTCCCATCTATCCTCTGATTGTTTGAAAATCACAATGACAGTCCCAAAGTCTCAGCCAGGCACTGGATGTTAAGGCCATCTGCCCAGACTTCCTGTTTCATCTGCAGTTCACACCATTCACTGATGTTCGTTGCCTGCGGATTGCACCCCCTTTCAGCGGGGGTTTCTTTGGAATCTGGCGCAAACCAGCTAGAGAGCCTGCTACTATGCTTCTGGGCGTGCAAAACAGCTGACGCACGAAGCTTTGCCCCGCAGAGGGCAGCAGTTTCGGCAGTGATCAACTTATGATGCTTTTGCCAGTGTTGACAAGCAGCAATACTTCGATAAAAACAATCTCCATTGCCACCAACATCTTGACTTTCCCAGCCATTTTTGAAACATTCCGCGATGTCTGTTGGGATCAAATCTGGGTCATCTGCTACAGCCTGCCGCTGCTCAGAGCGAACTGGGCTCCGACTTCTTTCCCTACCAGCCTCTTTTTGTGAGGCTTGACTGGAGTCCTGATCCAGAGCAGTTGCCATGACGTCCCCGGTATCGCCAGGATTGTTGGCTTCATTTCCAATTTTCCCCAGCTCATTCCCTCGCCATGTGTTTCTGACAGGTTGTTGCCAGGTTGGCTGGCGTTGTCTGACAGGAGCTGGGATGCATGACATGTAGCCTTCTGCCAAATCGTAATGGTAATTTTCCTGCATAGCTGAAGGTGGCTGGGCATGAAAACGCCATTCGTTTCGATATCTCACTTTGGAAATGCGTTGCACGGCTTTCCATTTCTGTTGATTGAGAAAATCTTCGATCTCTTCAGTCTGCCACACCTTTGGAGCCCCTCGGAGGAGGTAGTTGGCCGCTTGGCCCTCAGCTATTTCTGCTGCTGTTTTTTCCATGCCAATGGTGTGTGGCGTGCTGCTTTTTCGAAAAAAAAGACCAACTTTCCTGAGCTTAGCTTCCTTGAGACATCTTTGCAAATAGGTCTCGGCATTTTCGTTGTTCTGTCGTTGAAACCAACGGATGGGCCTGGGTCCAGTATTGTTTTCTTGGATCTGGGCAAAAACACCCTGGCGACCGCTATTGACAACAAGCTCCTTAGCCTGTTCTGTTGGCAAAATCAGCCAGCCTGTGAGCAAGTCTTGTTGATGGACCTGCGTGTGATTCCATTTGCCACCCATGAGGTGGGAGGCTTTTATTTTTTCACTCCACTGGGCCATGGCAGCCGCTACCAATCTGGGTAGGTCTTGGCCTGAATCCAAGAAGTGCTTTCGGAATTCCAAAGGTGCAATGACTCTGACAGTGCTTCTTTGGACTGTTTTGATTTTCCCCTCATCAACTTTGACTGGGGGCAAGATCCACAATCCACTGTTGGTATCTCCTAAGCGAAGGAGAGCTATTTCTTCAATTTTCGGTGTGCCATGCGCCCTGGATATGCGAACACGGGTAGCCGTGGCCCCCAGGGTGTCTTTGGCATCCTTGGTGAGCAGCATGGTCAAAGAGCCCTTGCACCCATAGCTATGCCAAAGGGTGCGCAGGTTCGCACACTGTTCTTTGGTGTAAACTTCGGTGATGTTGGTTTGCAAGGCTATTCCGGCTTTTATCTGAGAAATGATCTCATGTACGGATAGGAACTTTGGTTGGGCATTCCATTCGCTGGGCACAAAACCAGTGATATCTTGATGGCTGCAGCTTCGGTTTTGGCTGGTCTGTTTTCCCCAGCGATGGCTTGCTGTATCTGACTTCCCTGACCGCAACTGGTTTCCCAAGGTCACGGCTGTGTCCTTGGTTGGTCTCGATCAGCCTGCTGGTGGCTGTGATCACTTCCTGGTCACTTGCTTGGTTTGTGCAAAGTTTCTGGAGAAGCTGTAGTAATTCGCGAGCAAGGCTGGTGTCAGGAGAGCTGTCAGCCCGGTAACCTTGCCATGAATTATTTGCTTGTTTCCTTCTTTTCCGCCACCCCCAAGTGTGTTCTTCAGGCATATTTTGATTGCTAGGCTGCCACTGCTGGATCACATTTGTCAAAGCAGTAGCCAGGCTTTGTGGTGACTCATGCTGTGGATTGTTGCGCTTACGACGTGTGCGGGCTGAACCGCCCGCACCTCCCGCAAGGAGGCATCTCAACTCTGGTTTGGTCACATCCATGGACGCAGCGTCAGCAGGACAAACGCTAGCAATGGAAAATATGCCATACTGATGGAAATCCAGGTTCAAACCATGAGACAGTTTGGAACAACTTCTACTGGTTTTACTACACCGGATGCGGTTTTGGTGGCCTCGGGCCCATGCTCTCAGTTTTGCTGCGCGAAACTTCGCGCTGGACAATCTTTGGCGCATTTTAGCTTTCGTATGACGTGCATTTCGCACCAGTCTCGCTGGAAGTGCCATGCGATACTTGGTGAATTTGATATTTTTGTTTGGTTTTCGAGTTTTGCACTTTTTTCTGTTGGTTTTGAGAGTTTTCTGCGTTCTCTTGAACGAATTGCGTGGTCTGCTCAGCCAGTCCCAAAAGAAAGCAAAGCAGTATAATATACACAGGAATGTCAGATTAGTGAAAGGGTCTTCACCTATGATTGGCCAGTGTTCATGCATCAATGTCTCTGCAACTTCACTGGGTGTAACACAACAACTGCAAAGAAGCGAAAGCAACCATGCCATGCTGCATTGAAACTGAGAGAGCTTCGCACCTGCTAAGGCCCGCGACTGCCGTGGCAAACTACAAGAAGTAATTGGCCGGGAGGCGCTCTCTTTTTGATAGCCGCAGTGTCACTGCATGTTAGTCACTGCCGAAGTGTCCCAGGACCCGATCGGCTGGTTGAAGCGGTAGGCTTGGTAGAACATGGACTGCATGTTAGGTTGTAGTTTTGTAAGTGCACCCAACCTGGCGAGCCAAGAAGGCATTGGATTAAGGGGCACCCCACGCAAAGCGTGGAAAAAGCCGGCTGGCTGTGTTTCTTGTGATGAAGACCGGTAAGGTCACGGGCGGGTGCCCGTCGTGTGTTGCGGCTGCAGCCGCAGTGTAAATGCTGTGTTTAGCAGCTGCTGCTGCTACGAGAGTGCTGGTCCCAGTGAACTGGGTGTGATGGGGCAGAGCCCACATCGGTACGTTGTATTTTGCAAAGTGATGTATGGCTTGCGCCAATTGGAGCTGGTCTGTGCCAGTGTTCCGGTGTGGTAGCCGGCGGTTTGCCAGTCTGGTGGCTGGCTGTGCCCAGTCCAGGGTCCCGGCACCACAGAATGGTGGCCACGGTGTTAGCGTGACACTGGGCAGTGCATTAACGTAGCCACCTTCCGTTTTACCGGCGCTGCCCCGGTCATCTCTGACGCTCACCACTGCGCGTTAGGCAGTGGAGCGGGGTAAGTGGCCTGTTGTGGGGGGGAATTTGTAACCAGGTCAATTCCCGCGCGGTCACCCGCGCCCCCCCCCCGAGGGTAGGGTGGATGTTTGTCACCGCCGAAGTGTTCCAGCTTCCTATAGGTTCGTTGAAGGAGGTGTCAGCAAACAATCGTGACATATTGGTGACCATTCCCAGATCCCAGTCGGCTATGTCTCCGTATTTGGAGATCAGACCAGGTCCTTCAACTTCCTGTTGCCATCGACGGACGGCTTCACGCAGCTCGGTGTCGTTCTGGAAGGCATGGCAGCACGTCTCCAGGCAGTGGCAGGAGCTCGCCGTCAGCAATGCCAGCAGCCGCTTCAACGCCATGGCGCTTCCGCAATTTTATTTAGCGGTTGCAATCTTAACTTATATATACATCAAAAAACAGGGCTTGACAGCAGGAACGGCACAAAGCGGCACGGAACAGCATCAATCGAGAAAGCTCCGCATGGGGAAGACGGATTCAGGGCATTTCCACGGTCCACTTTTTCCATCAGGATTCAAAGGTGACTTGAACTTCTGACCGATTGTTACCTGACGGGGCTGGATGCAAATGGAAGAGTTTCCAATATGTTTGATTTCTACATGAGTAGATTTAAAAAAAAAACATATGTTGATGCTACTACGTTCCGAGACAACATCCTTTATACATTGACATCATTTGGCATCATTTGGCATCATTTGACATCATTTGACATCATTTGACATCATTTGACATCATTTGACATCATTTGACATCATTTGACATCATTTGACATCATTTGACATCATTTGACACTGTCCCTTCCACGAAAATGCCATTCTGTCGGTTTCAAAAAGTCAAGGGTGGTCTCTGGAGCGGCCAGGCCTAGCTGAACGCGCAAGGAATTGTCCAGGGGACCACGTAGAGGAAAGCGCCAGCCCATGAAGGGTGGGAACATGGAGGCCTGATTCACGTTGAACGCAAAGACCTCACTGATGGTTGCAGGATGATCAGGATGTATGACATTATGGTGTTGCGGGGTGAACATGTCGGAACTGGTGCATAGAAATGGCAAAAAGCAAAAATGCACAGCTACAGATAGAGGTGTCGCGAATGCATAAACCTGGAGCCTGGAATGGTATGGAATGGTCTGACTCATGGAGAGTCTGTAAGCTATCAAGCTGTGACATGTTAAGACATGTTAAGACCAGGTAAACTGATAGAAAACCAGGTTTGAACGGCACTTCAACAGACCCGAGCGTTATGGCACCCGTTGCACGGGACCCGTAACACGGGCCCCGTTACGGCGAGCCCTCCGAGGCTGGCACCATATCGCCACCAACCTCGGCACCGATCCACCATCCATCGCCTGGCACTGGCACAACTTCAGCTTGTTTAGCTTGAGATAAATCCGAGAAGTTGTGCCAAAGTTGTGCCAATCTCCAAGAATCCCTCCTTTGGCCACAATAAGACCCAGTCCATTTCAAATGGACATTACAAATTACGCAATACATTCAAAGTATTTCAAAGTTCCAAATGCTGGAGGCATCAAGATTGGAAGCCAAGTTGCAGTCCGCTCCATCCTTGGCTTTGGATAGAAATCCTAAGGATCCTATTCCGCTGCTGTTTGCATGCTTGAGATCACCGACTTACGAACACCATAGTTTCTTGGACTGCGACTTTTTCGTCCCAGTAGTATATAGCCACGCTCTCGCCTCATAGAAAATAAATATCTTGCTGCATTCAATGATATCCTTTGCCACATCCTTAAAAATCCAGCTCTCGAAAATGGAAACGCTGTCTGAAGCCCATTCCACACCTGTCTCCAGAGCTTTCCTGAAAATAGGTCTTCCGTGGTTGGATCCCTTCTCCTCATCGGCATGGTATCCCATCTGTATCAAGATGTATCAAGGGGATAGACCGAGGCATCCGGTGCACCTGGTAGGTTCCTTGGATGATGCGTCTCACCAACTGCTGCTGAGTCTTTTGAACCTGTCACAACAGGAAAAACGACGCAAAATGATGAGAAGAAGCGAGGCGCAGGTGTATCACGGAGTCAAAACTTGAAGCTCCTGCGCAGCTTTTTCTGCTTGTCGCTTTCGAAAGACCTCCTGGACCAAAACAATCGCAAGGAAAATGCAAAGGAAAATGCAAAGGCAAAGGCCTGAAGCAAGCTGTTCCAAGAAAAAACGATAAAAAACGTTTGGAAGTTCTGAACGGGTCTGCCGCCGTCTGCCGCCGTCTGCCGCCTCCCATTCGTCTAGGGAATCAGGCCCTGCATCGACCGCGTCCTTCCACTCAGAGCAATGTCGACTGTGAGACTGTTCATATAGGTCTACTAACCTCTATTTAGGCCTGTTCACAGGTATATTCAAGTCTACATTACATCTATAGTCTCTATATGTATATAGGTGTCTTTAGGTCTATCAGAGATTCGAGCTGTTGGCATGTCAATTTGAGCAGACTGAGCCTTTTCAGCGACGTTCGGTTGGAGACTTGCATGACTTGCAAAGGTGAAACACAAAAAAAAAGATTTGCTACGTCCCATAGATTTGAGACTGTGTCAGTCGCGGGTCTGCAAACCGGGTGATACAGAGTTGTGGCAAAGCATCAGCTGGCAGCTGGTGCCAGCTGGTGCCAGTTCAAGCTGGAACTGCATCGTCTTCTACCTCTTCCTGCTCTGGAGGCTCCAACACCTTCTGAATCTCGCTCACAACCTCAAGGCGCACCGTTGATCAAGTTGCTCAACTTGGAAGACTCAAGAAGCTCAAGAGTTCCAGATCCAGAAATCCCCCACTCACCGTGTGCAAGACAGAGAAACATGGAGAAACTGTGAATCAAACAGCTTGGCACAGCGCACAGCGCACTGCTTGGCACCTCGGGGTGGTCGTAGAGCTTGCCGAAGAGAAGGCAGTGCTTCATCTCCCGAACATCTTCCTTGTTCACTTTGGGAAGGAGTGTCCTGCACGAAGTGCAGGTGCACGGTGCCAGGAAGCATTGACCGAATGGAAAACGGGAAAACATGTGAAAGTGTCCGTGAAAGGTTTGAGAACATCCACTCTTTCGATGTTTATTACACGTTTTTTTGTTGCGAACATCTGCAAAGCATCAAAGAATTGCATTTCTATCAACTTCTATCTTCTATAGTCTTCTATGCACTGCTCTTGTCCTGAGGCAATCAACGTGGCCCCATCTTGAAGCCTTCTTCACAGCACTCATTTCATTCGCATCTCGTGCATTGGCATCAGCCCCTGAGTCCAGCAGCATTGACACCACGTCTTTGTGGCCCATGGCAGCTGCCATCATCAAAGGTGTCTCACCAAACTCGTTGTTGGCATTGGGATCTGCCTTCTTATCCAACAAACAACGACACACCGAGGAGTGTCCCTTTAGAGCTGCCAACATCAACGCTTGAAATCCAGAAGAGTCTTTGTCACTGACGCCTTTGCCGCCCTTACTGAACTTTTGCACCAGCTCATCATGTCCAGCATTGGCAGCGATCATCAACACTGACCAATTGGAGCCATCCGGCATTTTGTAGTTCGGATTGCATCCCGCTTCCAGCATCTCCTCACCAAAGACCCCCCAAATCCGTTGACCGGTCGATTCCAGCCCGTTTTCGCTGAAACTAGTTGAAGTTGGTGAGGAGAGCGCAACTGGAAAGTAGAATTATGTAAAACACCCAGATGTCTGTGCCAACATCTTTGCAGCTGAGTTCAGCATACAGGGAAATGACTAACAGTGAAACAAGTTGGGTATCATTAGCCGGCCCTGCAATATGCTCTAGTTTTCAGTAGTATTCAATATTCATTCTTTATATTGATATTATATTGATATTATATTGATATTATATTGATATTATATTGATATTATATTGATATTATATTGATATTATATTGATATTATATTGATTTACAAGGGTTTCCGAGATCTCAAAAATGTCTCAAATGTGGCCCGAGCGCGCCCATGGGTTGCGTCCGAGCTGCATTGACCTCCTCGGAGTCGCCTTTGTCAACGGCGCCTCTGAAAGCCACGGCCTTCCACATCACCAGGTCATCCTGTCGTGGACTTCAGACGACGGGTAAACCTGGTCAAGTAACACTTTGCGAACTGGAAAATCAATGAAAATCACCCATTTTGAATAGGATGAATAGGTAAATCAACTATTTCTATGGGCCTCTAAGCATCTATGGGCCATGTTCAATAGCTATATTGTTAAATTACCAGAAGGCATCCTACGAAACATTACAAAACAGAAGTGATATGATGACTCATGACATCACATGACCATGCCATGACATATGAAAACAAGATAAAAATACAATAAAATAAAGATCTATAAATTGAAGATGTATTTCATTTTATGTCTTTACCCAATGTCTTCCCCGTGTTGCATCTACCCACAGCCTCGTCCACGGGAGGCATGGTCACTCGACAATGAAAGCTGGGCTGGGCTCGGGGCAACCAGCTATCCCCACCCCTGGAGCTGTTGGAGCTGTGCTTTTGGAGCCAAACTCTGCATCTTTTGATTTCGAAGGCCAAAGATAGCCCAAGTTCACACCCCAAATAGCATGACATCCCGACACTCTGTGCGCACATCGCGAAATTACGAATTTGCTTTCAACACTTTGTACATTGTCACCCTTGTGGTAAACATGTCTACCAAAACACCAAAAGCAACTGCTTGTCAATCAGTCATTCCTGACATGTCCGTATACAAAAACACAAATCACATGAAAATGGAAAGGAGCGAAACGGGCAGTTGGATCGATATCGACTCGACTCATCGAAGGAAAAAAACGAAGGAAACTCCAAACCCAGCGCTCACCTCGAACAACTCTTCGAAATCGTTGCTGAATTTCATGGATTTCTGCGACGAATTTACCAAAGGACACACTGCCAAGTTCCAAACAAATCGAACGCAGATCCTGTTTGAACATAATCTTAAAGTGTTTTGTTCATATGCATGAAATGAAGTAATATATGAAGATAAACATTCAAAAATATTCATAACATATCGTATCATTCAAAACATATCATAAAATGTTCATAGCGTAAAAATCATCTCAACTCAACATCACCTCGAAGCGGCCACGAGATCTTCTCCAGCGGCGCCAACCATCAGCTTCAGAGAGTTCTCGATAGGCCTGGCGCGGTTTTTTTCTCAACGCTGTGCTAAGCTGATCCGGAAAAAACGATGGGAAAAAACGATGGAAAAATCATGGAAGAACGCAACCGTGATGAGAAAAATGATGGCAATAAAATGAAGAGACGGGGAACAAAGGAACCAATGAGGTGCTCAATGACCAGGAACTTCATGAACTTCGACACATCTTGGTGAAACAAATTCAGGGTTTGGTTCGGAAAGAAAACATGTCAAAGCAACCCACAGGACTTGGCGGAAGGCAGCAGCATCTCCAGTCCCTGCGATGTCTGGATGCAATTTGGCCGCCAGCTTGCGAAAGGCAGGTCGTACTGCTGCCTGGCCCAGCTGAGGCTTTGAACTGGGAGGCTGAGGGGGTAGTCGGATAATGTGGAATAGTACATGGATGGTACATGATAGTACTGCAGAGACCTGCAGAGGGGTTGTGGGTTGTGCCGGGTCGCACCTGTTTTGAAGCACGTGACAGGCCCAGAATGTCGAAGGGGTTTTGAGACTTGGACTTCAATCCCAAAAGCCTTGACAGCTTTGAAGAAGCTGTGTGAATCCGAGGACTGTGAAAGACTTCGAAAACACTGAAGGGTGGACAAGTGATGAAACAACAGATTCGCTGCATGGATCTGCATGGCATATACTCAGCTACTATTGGGGAACAAAATCAGGTCACTTCTTGTGGCAAAGTTTCCGAACCAAGCTGCTCGTCAGCGTCTTCATCTGCAGGAAAGGCAAAAGGCCTGTGACCTTCCCAGTGAGAAATTTCAAATGACTATGCTGACATATGCTGACTCTGCGTTGGAAATGCGTCGGAATACTAGGCAATGCCATCAAATCTTCAAATCCATGCAGCTCTGCAGTTCTGCAGCCCAAATTTTGCGCTCTTTTCATGCTGCTTCTGCGAATCATGATGGGCGGCACAGCAGTGCCAGGGATGTGAAGTTGATAAGACCAGAAGCCCACAATAGCGAGGCAATGAAGACTCGAGGCCGTTGAAATTTGAAAGTTCTCTTAGCAAGCCTGCTATGCTACCACTCTCAGTTACAAGATGTTACAACTGAGACCTGTGATATCCTGTGATATCCTGTGATGTACAGGATGTCGCAGTGCAGGCCAAATTCAAAGCTCTCAGCGTTCGAATGCTTCCCAGAGCATTCAGCCAAAGCATTGCTCGGGCTCTGCCAATGCTCAACCCGGCATTTAGCATGTCCGCCGCTCATGCGAGGGCAATCGAAATTGGACCGTAGGGAAGCTCCTGGTACACCTGCAACTGGCAAAATGCAAAATGGTCAACCAAACTTCAAACAATTCATTCATATTCATTCACACCTAAACACCACTGCCTCCACTGTACTGCCGGATTTAAAGCAAACCTTAGACGTGTTACACTGTTACACTGTTACACGTCATTACACTTCTCATTACACTTCTCGCTCCAATCGCTCACAGTTCATGGGCGCACCTGCAGTCCACCTCCCGTCGCAAGTCCAAGTAGACATCCGAAGGTCCGCGCAGCGGTGATCTTTTCTGTACAGCTCGGTGGCCTTGGCTGGGCAGAGAATGAATGGAGAATGGAGAATGGATGCGGAATAGCTCCAAATATATCCAAATATGAGAAGAAAATAGAAGAAATTGAGAAAATATGTCAAGATGATTCAAAGTGAAGTTACAAAGTTGGCAAAGTAAGATACACGGCTTTCACAAATGGTTGAGCATTTTATCAATTTTATCATATTTGAGAATCTTTCATCTCATGCTCACAGGACACATGATGACAGCAAAAAAATCATCATAAAGATTGATTCACAATGATCTGGATAGTGCCAAAATCGTTGGTGCCCATGCCTCTCTTCACAAAGGGGCAGCCAAGAAATATATCAAATATGAGTTTCTTTAAGCTGCGAAGGCCCGAGGCCCGGGCATGAGGTCATCCAACATCACAGGACCATCCTTTTCCTCCACGAAATGCCGGATCACTGCACCAATTTGAGCCGTCTGAACATCAAAAGCCTTAGCTTCAGCAGCTTCAGCAGCTTCAGCAGCTTCAGCTGGATCCTCTCCCACTGCTTCAGCTTCAGCAGCTGTCGCAGCTTCTGCTGCTTGTGCAGCAGCTGCCAAGAAAGCATCCCCTTCAGGAGATCTTGCGAAGATGGCACCCAGCATCTCTGGACGGATCTGGTCATCCAGTAACGGCTGCACTTCAGGCAATGGCAGGGACTCTGAAGGGGGCGCTGACAGTGCATCGTATGCCACAGCCCTGTCTGATGTGCCCAGGAGGATCCGCAAGGGACCGAGGTGATCTGCAAACATCTCTGTTCGTTCACGAAGCCTTTCGGCCTGCGATTCCAACCCAGGTGGCTCCACGCTTGCCTCGCCAAAAAACTGCCAAAAATGAACGTGAAACATCGTGAAACACTGCAGATCTGCGACAACAAAAGATGACAAAGGGGGGGACTATGCATGGTCTGTGACATCTAAGTACAACATCGTAGCCTATACTGCGCAGTATGTGCAAGAAAGCCTCACAAAGCGATTTGGAAGCGCTATTGACATCAAGCTTCCCGGGACCGTCGTATGTGAAACATCATTCAAATTCATGAAAGAATGCACTGGCCAACTCTGAGGCACCTGGGCTTCAGCGACCTCTGCTGTGATCTTCTCATCAAAGCCCAAGACATGTCCAGGGGGCGGAAGGCGTCGACGTCGCTTCTTCTCCGCCTCCGGCAGCTCCGGCAGCTCCGGTAGCTCTGGCAGTTCCAAGTCGCCACCGAAGAGATCCAAGGCATCGGCATCTGGAGCTGCTGCAGCTCCCTCTGGAGCTGCTGGAGGGGCTCCTTCTGGAGCTGGAACTTCAGCCATGGGCACTTCGGGGAAAGCCGGGAGCTCTTCGATCAAAGATGGCATGGCTGGCATCATTCCGATAGCCCACCCTGTGGCTTCTTGAGGCTCTGGCAAACGCTCCACAGGACCCAGACGCTCCAAAAGGTCTTCACCCAAGGGAGTTTGGGTCCAATCAAATGTCTCTGCCTCCTTCACTCGAGACAAGTCCAGAGTCACAGCATCAACCCGTTGCCTCTTGGCTGCAGGCAATTTCAAACCTTGTTCCGAGTAGGGTTGCTCGGCAAACAACAGGACCACCCGCTCACAGTCTGTGTGGAGAACACGAGCGCGGTCGTTGTTGATCACGCAGAAACCTACGACGAACAAGGACAAACAGTACAAGTAATGACAAGTAGAATCAGAAAAACGAAGAAAACCTGCTAAGCAAAGGATATTTGACTTCTCACTCACTCACGCGTCTTTTTTGGTTGTTTTTTCTCTGGTTTTCCGGATGTGCAGTGCCAAGAAGCCCTTGATCATTGTACCATAGACCCGCAAAGTGAGTGCTTTCCCAGTTCCCGGGCTGTGATCGGAAATCAAACGCTGCACTCGCTGCTGCACGTTGAGATCAATCTGCCGCTTCTTGGCTCGAACTGCTGAAGTAGCTGCAATCCATGCATCCTGCCACAGGTCTTGGTGAATGCCAAACTGAATCTCCATGGCTGATGGATGCTGATGGATGACGATGGATGGATGAAAGCACTCGCTCAGCCCCAATTGCAAAGAACCTGACACTCGAAGACACTTGAGAACACTTGGAGATGTGTGCCTACAGCTATAGAGAACTTGTTGAGCAATGCGGTTCGCTAGCCAACGTCCGCTATGTAATGTCGACAGGTGCTTCAGACTCCTCTGGAATGTCCACGGTATGACATGGATGTTTTTCCTCATTTTGCAAATGGGTGCCGAGAGCCGAAATGCTAGCGAAAGATGCAAATGATGCAAAGCACGTGTGCAGGTGAAGGTGGGAAGATGGTAGAAAGATGGTGGAAAGATGGTTCATGTTTCATCATGTTTCAACCTTTAACAGTGAGACAATGAAAATCAACAACCCATGCTGGACAATGCTGGACACCTCTCAAGGAGAGACACCAAAGGTGAAGTCCCAGAAGCGCTAGCGCTAGCGCTCGGTGGCCATGGCCCATGCCGGCAATCCATGCCCCAGCTGAATTTGCGCAGCTCAGACACGTGGGTTGTTCTCCCACAGAATCAATGGTATATCACCATTTGCAGTGACCGCTGCAAAGGTTGTCATGTCGCAGCTGTATGTTGATGCGTCATCAACTGCATCATAGAGCTTGAATCCAGTGTGCTTGTTCCGATTTCGACAGGTCCTCCCAAAGCAAAGTTGCTGCGAAAGAAACATGATGCCAAGAATTTACCTGGGCGCTGCAAAAAAATCAAAACACCTGTGAAAACTGCATCGATATCCAAGACGTGTCGATCGTGTCGTATTTCAAACAAGGCTTTTCGGGCGCTGGCGACGACTCCGGGACTCGACTCCCCACTTTGGAAGGCCACGCTGCGTTGAAGCTCCCGAAAGCTCCCGTTGCGTCTCAAGTCCCATGGGCGTGGATAGCCTGGCTATGGATGGAGATTGCCAGATTGCTATGGAGATTGCTATGGAGATTGGGCACCAACAAGCTAAAATAGCCATAAATTTTACAACATGCTGAGAGATGGTACCATCACCCTGGCCTTGGTGGCCTTGGTGACAGCCGACTCGAGAGTCAGAGCAGGATCCATGGCAAGTGGTTTGGCTAAGGCCTGCAGGTCTTCGGTCTTCCATGGTCTTCCCATGTCTTCCCACATGTTACATGTTAGAAATGCGTCACAAACATGTTACAAATGCGTCAAATGTGTCCTGAGTTTTCTGAGAAAATCATGGAACATCAATGCAACTTCAGCTCTACCCTGGGTATACACGCATGCCGCATGGTGCACTATCCCGATCCATCCGATCCTGTCTCCAAATCTCGATAAACCACAGCATCGCTACATGCAAGTAGAAGACCCACCTGGAACAGCTGGACGGGTGCCGTAGATGCGCAACTTCAGCAAAAACATGATGAAACAGGATGACATAAAACAAGTTTTGACACATCTGTAGTGCAGAAAGTACATCTTGTAATGCAACAGCAACAACAAGCATGTCTGCGAGCGTACAGAAGAAATGGCTTCTCCAAAAGTCGTCGCGTGAACCAGCGAAGCTGATTCTCTGCCGCAGAAATGCACCTCGTAGCAGGATCAAATAGCTGCAGTCATTGTCTGTTTCACAGTTTCATGATGTTTCATGATTCCCTTTCCATCCGCAACTTTTTGCAGTGGTTCTACGGTCTTTTCTGGGCACTCCAAACATTTTGACATTTGAAGTTCGATGTGAATCTTCAATATCTATATCATGCTGACTGTCATACTTATGTCATACTTCTGCTCACTCTGAACGACCTTGGCTTCAAAAAAGGCTTGGAAAAGCTCGGCACTTCAGCTTACGGCAGAGGGTCCAAAGCCGCCAGCAGCGCCTTCAAAGTCTGGGAAGGTAACCAAAGAAACCCTAAACCAAAACAGTGCCGGAAAAATGGGGATATCGATATCTGTATAAAATATTCTGAGAATTTCTGAGATATTCTGAGATTCTATCATACCATCGTTTAATCTTCTAAGACATTCATTCTAAGACCTGGTGAAGTGAACCCAACGCAGTGAACGCAGTGAACGCAGCGCTGCTCTGCTATGCTCTGCTCCTCATTGCGAGGCGGCAGCCGCCCTGCATCAAGCTGTAGGCACTGTAGGCCGTCGACGCCGTCGACGCCGGCGAAGTCTGCGCTTCCTCGTCGTCAGGCTCCTCGCCGCAGATGCCGTCAGCTTCAGCTGACGCAGAAAGTGAAGTGGAAGAAAGTGGAAGAAAGTGACTTGCCTCAATTGTGGAACAAACAAATGACATCATTGACATAATTGACATAATTCACAATACATCAATATAGAATATGGTTATAGTTATATCATGTTATATTATGTTATATTATGTACACAATTAAGGCTTAATTCAATTGACGGGAAATCCACTAATTCATAGAATTGATATCGACATCCGTTTCAAACGTTTCGAAGTTGATGCACCTCTGGAAGGTCCAATCCAGCGTCCACGGGGGCAAATTGGTACCTGACATCTTCTGACATGCACCTCATCGGCGGATGCATTCATGGCATTCATGACATTCAAAGATGCACCAAAAATATCCAAAAATAATCAAAAGTCATCAGAAGAAATATCACCACCAGTCAACCCACAACCTCTTGAATAGTAGCTTGATCTAACAAACGTTTTTCAAAACAACCATGTCCATCTGTTTCCCAGACTTCCCAGACTTCCCAGACTTGATCTGCTACTTGAAACAATCCACAAGGGCACACAATCGGTCGCTGACTCAAAGATCGCTGGAGAGCCGCATTCTTTGCCTCGCATGGGATTTCAGCGCCGAATTCCCATGGTGGCAGGAAAAGCCTCATCCTTGAAATAAACATGGTGCAATGGCCATGCATTGGCCGTGCATGGTGCATCCTCTCCATGTCTGGGACCTCTTGCATAGTTTCTCCGATTGAGTCGTCTACCCTTGTCATCATTCGTCATCATTCGTCATCATTCGTCATCCATTTTCATGTGCGGAAAACGGGTCCAGCCTCCAGTTCTCCCAATCGTGCCTGGAGTTTGGCGACGCGCCTCTCGCGGAAGCTGAGGCAAGTCTTGGGTTGTTGTGCCTTGTTGTTCAGCCAAGCCTTTAGATGCCTTGAGTAACTTTAGTATTCAGATCTTGTTGTTTTTTTCATTGAGCAGAACTATTTCTCTTTTTGGGGACCACAATTCCGTCTGCCGCCTTGTGTCATCATCAGCTTCCAGCCTCATTGATGTCTGCGAATTGGCAAGTCTCCATGAACAAAAAAGGAAGCACATTTTTTTTTCGTTCAGGGCATATCTGTGTGTCCTTTGTGTCCTTGGGCCCTTGGGTTCAGACAGTTGGTGACGCTCTGAAGCCTTCAAGCCGAAGGCAGACATGGAAAGTGGAACCGGCATGCCGACAGTCGGAGTTTCTATTTCCATGTTCTGCAATGTTCTGCAGACCCCGCATGTCTCCTCGCATCTCCACGTTTTTCCCATGAAACATGGTTTTCTGAGCAAAGACCTCCACAAAAGTTCCCCACATCGATGAACCAGCCTCTTCCGGGTCTCCAGCATCACCAGTGAGTGTCTCCTAAATGGCGGTGCTGTATCCCCACCAGCCCTACGGGCCCTACCCATCTCCAAAGTGTTTTCCCTAAGGGCCTCTCCTTGCCGTACACCACTGGTGCCTCACTCGGCTGTCGCACTGCCACCTGCGACAAAGTGCCTATTTATCTCCAAACCTGTCCAAATCTGTCCAAATCTCTCCAAACTGTTCTGCCACTTTTGAAATAAGGTTACTTCCAGCAACTTTTCTGGGGCGATTTCACTGGCGAATTAGCTAATCCCATGTTCCTTTTCTACGTCTGCCGTAACATCGTTAAACCATCGCCATGTTCGGTCGCTGAGCACAAAACCTGCAAGTCCACTTCAGCCTTCTGGAGCTCCTAAACACACAGGACCCTACTATGGCCATCACAATGTCCTTTTGGGAAAATAGAGGATACCCTTCTATGAATCAACCAGTTGGAAAAAGACATCTATGCTTCATACTTTCTGATTTATATTTATATATATATATATTATATTTATATATTATAATATATATATAATATATTTATATATTATAATACATATATATATTATATTATATTATATTATTATATTATATTACATTATATTACATTATATTATATTATATTGTATTATATTATATATTATATTATTATATTATTATATTATATTATATTATATTATATATCATATCATATTATATTATATTATATTATATTAAAAAATATTATATTATATATTATTATATATTATTATATATTATTATATATTATTATATTATATTAAAAATTATTATATTATATATTATTAAGTATTATTATATTATATTATATTCTATTATATTATATTATATTATTATATTATATTACATTATATTACATTATATTATATTATATTGTATTATATTATATTATTATATTGTTATATTATATTATATTATATTATATATCATATCATATCATATCATATCATATTATATTATAAATAATATATTATTATATATTATATGTTGATCATTGTGTATCATCATTATCCAATTAATCCCATCCCCATCATCCCCATCCACCATGGTTTCTGTGGGCTTCTCCTCGCGCAACGCATCGCGCTCGAGTTCGAGCTCCCGAAGTTGCTCCCGTTGTGAGCCGCACAGTGACCTTGAGACAAAGGTAGCACATGTTTGGATCCAATCTGCAGAATCTACACCTACTAAACATCATAATCATCATAATCATCTATAATCATTTATATATTTTCATGACATTGTATGACTATGACTAGAACTATAGTTTCAATATGTTGCAATCAGAATCATCATTCTTATAGTATAAGTATAATTGAATAATTGAGTCATATTGAGTCCCTTTGCCTCGATCATGTTTTTTTCCTGAGCTTGGCACTGCAACTTTGAAAGCCTGTGCCACAAGGCCAGAAATACGTTATGAAAGCACGCAAAACAAACATCACAACATCACTCTGGCTGGGAGCGAAATCTCCATAAGAGTTGTGAAGGCATCCATTTCTTAGCGATGTTAAAAATGCAAAGCCGACACAAAGCATTGACACCTAGATTATCCTCAGATATAGATTCCATGTAGATTCCATTCGATTCCCAAACGATCCTTTGACAAAAAATTGATCGACGTGACAGTTTTTTGCCCACCTCTCAGACATCTCTCCGGGCCTGCCAATCGTTTCTCATGTTTGTTGCCCCAAAGAAAAACCACCACAAAAACACAGGATTGATGCGAGCTGATTCATCGATGATGTAAGATGTAAGATGATGCAAGGCAACAGCAACTAACATCAGTCAAACTCAAAGGCGGTTGCTTGCAACGTTTCTTCAGTTTCTTCTCATAGCCGGTTCGATCGGAATGGCTTGCCAAATTCTTGTGACACTGTTTATGTCGTTTCTGTCTCTGGGGTGCCTTTCAAGTTCTTCAACCCGCCGTCTCAAAGTATCCGTTTCTTCCAGTTCTTCTTCAGCCCTGGCAAGGCAATGCAGGACATGAGAATACATGAGAGTTCTTTTCTGGACCAAAGAAATGCAGTGTGGTGCAGATGTTTACGGCAAAGTCAAGGGCTGGAATTGGTTGAAATGTCTTGGGATGGGCCTCCTCAATTCTTCACGTAACTCGCTCCGAGAAGCCTTTGTCTCGGCAAGTTGTCGTTCCAAGAGTTGTCGGGTCTCTTCCATCTTCTCCTCGAAACACGGCATGGTTGTGTCAGGTGATGCTGCGGAAGTACAGCATATATCCACAACTTGACGACAACTGCAATGAACATCTATGCCCTGCGGCCCTGTGTGTGAGTACCTCCTGTCTTTACATGTTTTTACAATATAATATTAACGCTGCTGCCAACCAATGCTTTCAGACTTCAACTGGCTTTACCTCAAGCAGTGCTTTCAGACTTCAACTGTCTTTACAGAAATCGCAGAAAATAATCAAAACCTGCTTTTCACCACGGACACATTATGGAAAGGAAAAGTATGCCACTGCCGCTCTTCCAAACCAGCCTCCTTGCTTCTTGCCGCAGTCAAACTCTCAACTGCCTCTGAACATCTTGACTTCTCTTGTGCAAGCACCTGCTCGCTTTGAGCAGCGCGCTCTTCAGCCTCTCTGCTTCGAGATTCCAGTTCGCGGCACTTGCTTGTCAATTGCTGCACTTCGTGATCTAGTTTGTCCTTGGCAAGATTCACATCTTCGTGGGTTCGTTGCAGTTCAACCAGAGACGCCTGCAAACGACGTGACTTTTCGTCTCCTTCTGCAGCCATTGCCGCTTCTTGATCCTTCAACGCTTGCTGTGCTGTCTGCAGCTTTGACTGCAACTCGGCCTCCTTGCTTCTTGCCGCAGTCAAACTCTCAACTGCCTCTGAACATCTTGACTTCTCTTGTGCAAGCACCTGCTCGCTTTGAGCAGCGTGCTCTTCAGCCTCTCTGCTTCGAGATTCCAGTTCGCGGCACTTGCTTGTCAATTGCTGCACTTCGTGATCTAATTTGTCCTTGGCAAGATTCACATCTTCGTGGGTTCGTTGCAGTTCAGCCAGAGATGCCTGCAAACGACGTGACTTTTCGTCTCCTTCTGCAGCCATTGCCGCTTCTTGATCCTTCAACGCTTGCTGTGCTGTTTGCAACTTTGACTGCAACTCGGCCTCCTTGCTTCTTGCCGCAGTCAAACTCTCAACTGCCTCTGAACATCTTGACTTCTCTTGTGCAAGCACCTGCTCGCTTTGAGCAGCGCGCTCTTCAGCCTCTCTGCTTCGAGATTCCAGTTCGCGGCACTTGCTTGTCAATTGCTGCACTTCGTGATCTAATTTGTCCTTGGCAAGATTCACATCTTCGTGGGTTCGTTGCAGTTCAGCCAGAGATGCCTGCAAACGACGTGACTTTTCGTCTCCTTCTGCAGCCATTGCCGCTTCTTGATCCTTCAACGCTTGCTGTGCTGTTTGCAACTTTGACTGCAACTCGGCCTCCTTGCTTCTTGCCGCAGTCAAACTCTCAACTGCCTCTGAACATCTTGACTTCTCTTGTGCAAGCACCTGCTCGCTTTGAGCAGCGCGCTCTTCAGCCTCTCTGCTTCGAGATTCCAGTTCGCGGCACTTGCTTGTCAATTGCTGCACTTCGTGATCAAATTTGTCCTTGGCAAGATTCACATCTTCGTGGGTTCGTTGCAGTTCAGCCAGAGATGCCTGCAAACGACGTGACTTTTCGTCTCCTTCTGCAGCCATTGCCGCTTCTTGATCCTTCAACGCTTGCTGTGCTGTTTGCAACTTTGACTGCAACTCGGCCTCCTTGCTTCTTGCCGCAGTCAAACTCTCAACTGCCTCTGAACATCTTGACTTCTCTTGTGCAAGCACCTGCTCGCTTTGAGCAGCGCGCTCTTCAGCCTCTCTGCTTCGAGATTCCAGTTCGCGGCACTTGCTTGTCAATTGCTGCACTTCGGTTTGAAGGCCATTTCTCAAACCAGCCTGTTGAGACACAAATCAAATTCATTGCTTGGATAGGTTTCATCATCCTGACTGGCAGGAAATTGATGAAAAATTGTGGTTGAGAAGACCCCGGGCCGAGACGACTAAATGGTTCCATTATGTTCCATTGCAACAGCCAAAAAGAGACATCACCAGCAACATCAGTCATTCATAGTCATTCAATGTTTCAAGGCCTCTTGGAGCTTGGCACGCAGCTCTTCAGCTTCTGACCGAAAACAAAGCGCGTTTTGATCAATGACAATCAGCTCAAGTTGACATCAGGGGAAATCCGGCATGGAAAGACATTGAAAGATGTTCCGGTGCTTCAAATTGATGAGAATCTAGAAAATACCCTTCTATTGTTTCCTGTTGCTTAGAATATATAATTCTGTTTTTTTGGAGCCTTCTGTTGCCAGAAAGAGAATGCTCTCCATCTTTCTCATTCGAGAAAGATTCAGTATGTTTCTTCCATCTTCTGTTTACACTCATTCTATCTCTGAATTGGAGGAAAAAACATAAAATGACCATGGGTTTTTCCCCACCAGTTTTTGCACCATGGTTTTTTCCCCACCTGAACGAAGGGCTTCGAGCTCCTCCGTTTCCTGCACCGCCCAGGACTTCCGCAGTTTGAGCTCTGCGGCCAGCGAAGCGCCCTGAAGCGTTGCCGCGGGGCATGGCCAAAATCCAAGACATTTTGGGAGAAGGGTGGGAAACACCATGGAAACACGGGAAATATGGGAAATCGAGTGAAAATTGAAATTTGTGCGAAATTTTGATTCCAAGGAGATCTCAAATCTGTCAAACCTACTTTCAGACCTACTGTTGTGCTGTTAGTAAAAAAGATTGTGACAGGATCTTTCTTGGAATTTCGCTCAAGCACCCGACATCTCAAACTGTGCACCGCTTCTCACGTCTGTCCATGGCCATGGCCTCGTCCCGAGCTGCTTTGGCATCCTTTAGTGCTTCATCCAGCTGTGCCTGAACCAAAGAACTGGGAGCAGAGTTGCAGAGGGCAAAGCATGGCAAAAAACAACGAGACAACGAGAACCTTTCAGGATCAGCATCTCTCAGCTTTGCCGAGAAAATTTCTACAGCTTTGCTCAGAATCTTTGACGCCTGCAGTGCCCCCAGCTCTGGTGACTCCTGGATTCTTGGCGGGTCTGGAGAGCTCTTCGATCAGTTTTTAACGAATTCGTATGCCTTTATCAACGTCAACGCACTTCCGGCACTTGCCGCACTTGCTTGAAGCGCTCCTTGGGCTCTTTCTCCTTCGCTTCGCTCTTGTTCGACTTGTCCTTCTCTTTGTCTTTCTCTTTTTGGTCAACTTGTTCAATTCGCACAAAGGTCATATCAACCTCTGCTGTGTCTGTGAAACATAGTCAGTCGGAACATGTCGGAACCAATGGTGGCCAAGGCGAACAAGGTGGAAACGAGGGTGGAAACGAGGGTGGAGAAATGATTCGTTGCACGTCTGCAGTCAGCTAGGTCCCTGACCGGGCGCGGCAATTTGGAAAGTTTCTTCTTCAGCTCCTGCCGCATGAACTTTTCAAAAGATATGTCCCCTTCACTTGATTCACTTGCGAAGTTCGGGTTCGAGGAAGAGGTGTGTCAAAGCTTCCAGGAGTTGAGACTAGTTGAGACGCTTCCAAGAATATCCATAGTAATATATCAAATTAATATCCATAGTAATATCATGTAATATCCATAGACATCCAGAGTTGCATCCCATAGACATCCAGATGTTCGCCACTTTCCCACCTCTTGGAAGGATGCATCGCCCACAGACGGCAGCGGCTCGCCTCCAATTGCCACAGCGCGATCCTGCGACAGTGAAAATCTATAGCCCCTGTCCTGGCTGAATGTAGATGTAACAGATGTAGAACGATTAGAATATGGGGATGAATGGGGATGAATGGGGATGAATGGGGATGAATGTGCACAAGTCTGCGGTGCATGTTTCTTTAAGTATCGCGAACAATCCCTGAAACACGGCCCAAGAATTCTGAATATCCCAATCGAACTTGTCACCTTTCGGGCCCTTGCTTCTCTCTCAGTAAAATACACAGTGAAATGCACAGTGAAATGCACAGTGAAATCTTCTCTTCTCACACACTCTTCTCTTGCTTCGCCACATGCTTCGCATAGTTTGCACATGTTTGCACAGTTCTCTTCGAAGCCTCTGTGCGGAGGCCAAGGGCTTCAGCTTGTCCTCGTGCTGTGCTTGTCGTCTTGTGTCCGTCTCGTCGTCTCGTCGTCTCATTGTTTCGTCGTTTCGTGCCCGGTTTCTTTTCGTGTTCCAATGTTTTCCATTTCAGTCGTCTTTCAGTGACCGGATTCGCACCTCCTGGAGTGATCTTCAGAATCTGACAGAGTCATGGTATGTCATGGTATGTCATGGTATGTCATGGTGACAAAATATAGAAGATGTTTGATTGTAGTCAAGTCTGATCAAGTCTCATAGCTGGTTCCCACTTTGGCTTCATGATCTTCCTTTAGAGGGAAATATCATGAACAAAAAACATGAACAAAACACATGAACATCCATGAACTATCTGAAACTATCTGAAACTATCTGCCCGGGCACTGTGGACCCGCCTGGCCACCTTGAGCCAGGTCCAAGTTCAATCCCAGACTTCCCTGTTGGAAGGTCACGTCCAAGCGGACCTGGCAGAGTCTGGAAAACATTGGAAAACCAAGCAGACCAAGCACCGGCGCCCTGTCGGTCCGAGGCCCCGTGGCATCCCGTGGCGCCTCTTCCAAGCCAGGAGCCAACACGCCGTTGCCTCAGCGCGGCTGAATGGTCTGTTCTATACCGGTTATACCCAACAGTTGTACCCGAAAAAATGGAAGTTGTTGGTTCACTTCAAGTC